CCTTTAGATGGTCGTCCAGACAAATCTTCAATGATCTCTGCCCTTGATTTTCACTCCATCTCCTTCTCACAAGTACTTTTCTCTCCCTTAAATCTATCTATTTTCTTAATTTTCTTTCTATTTTTCTTTCTTTATTTGTTTATCCTCGTGTACTTTCTTTCTCAATGTCTCTCTCTCTGCCTTAAAAGATAGGATGAGATACCCAGAGCTTCTCTTTTTATCTCTCGCCCCACATACTTTCTCTCCCCCACATACTTTCTCTCTCAATGTCCTCTCGATGTCTCTCTAACCCTTAAAGATAGTATTGGGCCTCATGGATTTCTCTCTTTATCTCTCTCTCCCCATGTACTTTCTCTCAATGTCCTCTCCTCATCTCTCTCTCCCATAAAGATAGGATTACTCACCCTGAGTTTTTCTCTCTCCCTCCTCAATATGATAACCCTCTTTCTCTTTCTTAAATATTATCTTTTATATTAAAATATGTGCATACTCTCTCTCCCCTAAAATAGGTGCCTAATCAATCTCTAAAAGATGAGAATGTATCATATCTAAAAATCCGGACCCCTTTTTATTTTCTCGACATGTGTCCACCCACATGCTTTCTCTCTCAATGTCCTCTCCAGGACTTTCTCTCTCCTTTGAAGATAGGATTAGGCACCTTAGTTTTTTCTCTTTATCTCTCTCTCCTCCACATACATTCTCTCTCAATAATCTCACCACATTTTTCTCTCTTAAAGATAAGATTAAGCACCCTAGGTTTCTCTTCCCCCCCTTCAAAATGTAAGTGATTTGTCCTCATGATTCTCTGTCTTCTCCTAAATATGGTAAGCATCTTTCACTTTTTTTTAAATATTATTTTTTAGATTAAAATAGGTGTATACTCTTTCTTCCCCTCCTAAAATAGGTGCGTAATCTATCTCTCAAAGATGAGAATGTATCCTACAATCTCTATAGAATTAGGGCCGCTTCTTATTTTAGTGATATGTATCCACCCTCGTGCTTTTTCTTTCAATGTCCTCTCCACGTCTTTCTCTCCCTTTAATGTATGTTTAAGTACTCTGAGTTTATCTCTTTATCTCTCTCCCTATATAAATTCTCTCTCAATGTCCTCTCCACGTCTCTCTCTTTTAAAGATATAATTAGGCACTCGGGTTTCTCTCTTCCCCCCCTTAGAAATGGGAAGCTTTTTATTCCCATGGTTCTCTTTCTCTCTCTTTCTCCTAAAATAGATGCGTAGTCTAGCTTTGAAAGCTAAGAATGTATCTTAAAATCTCTATAGATTTAGGGCCGTTTCTTATTTTATAGACATATTGTTGTGGCTTCAATTTGTAGTTGTAGATATATAGATATCATGCAATATACCTTAGTATAAAATATAGATACCATATCATACAATATTCCAACTTATTCCTAACATACATTGCATGCCATAACACATATAATACATTATAATGAGAACTAATATTATAATATTAGTGTATTATATTATAATAACTAATAACCATGACATACCGTAACCAAACCATAGTTTATTCTAAACCTCGAACCTTCCTTTCGGAGATCTATTTTAGTGGCGACGCGGCATGGAGGTTTACCTTTTAATTGTAGATGTTGATTGCCATAAGTGCCAGTCAAGCTTGACTACTGCCACAAAAGAAAAAATACACTAGAATAATGTAGTCTATGCTTCTCCACAATATATATCTTTCCTATATTCCTCTTCTCCCAACCGTCCAATCAGCATGGAGGACTATGGGCAATATGAGAGATGGTGAAGCGCAAGTCCTATCATCACAAAAGCACTCCAAAAAATTCACAATCTCAAATTCCATGGATGACTTTCCTTTATGGTTGGAGGGATCAACAAGGCTCATAAGGAGGTATGAATTCATTAGGGTTTTGATCCAGTTCTTCTATTCCTTGGGTTAGAATAAAGATGCTTCCCTCTTAGAAGAAGAAACAAGCATCGCTCTCTATTGGGTATAGAGATAGATCGAGGGCCATGACTATGGCCATTGGGTGTAGAGAGAGCAGGGTTTTGCAGAGGAAGTTTGGGGCCATGGCCATTGGGTGTAGAGAGAGAAGGGTTTCGCTGAGGAATTTGGGGCGATGGGAGAGAGGAAGTTTGGGGCCATGGCCATTGGGTGCAGAGAGAGAAGGGTTTCGTGGGGAGGAGAGGGAAGAGCGTGAGGATTAGAGAGAGAGGGGCGAGTGAAACGCGACCCAAGCCAAAAAAATTCAAGTCTAAGTTGAATTTTTTTGGATGGCATTTTTTGCCTTTATATGAGATTTTTTTTTTTTTCAATCTAAAAATCTGGCAAAAAATACAGTTGTCCAAAAGGTAAACATCCATTTCAAAAGATTTTTGGATTGCAATCCAAAAATAGTCCAATTTTAGGTACATCCAAACTGGCCCTAAGATAGCCACAATCACAATATCACAATTATACACAATTTTTTTTTTAAATTTTTTTTTTTAAATATTTTGACGCCAAATTTGGGGCATCCACTCCTCTATTAAACTCGCACCTGCAAAAATATAAAAAAAATATATTTCCAAAAAATGATAAAAATATCCTTGAAAGTTTCATGTGTATTTTAGGCATTTTATTTTTAAAAAATATTTTATAATATTACTTTTAGGTGCGACCCATTGAGAGATGACACATACCAAATTTTTTCTTCATAAGATTTATACAAAAAATTAAACTTAAAATACTCTGAGACATCAAATTTGGAATATTCAACCAGTGGCTCACTAGTGGCATATTTAGACATGGAACCTTGACCATCCATTCAATTTTATTTTATTTTTTCTTTCTATGAAACGTAGGGTTGTGTCAATGTAGCCTAGGGCCATACACAGAGCGGTATGAGGTTTGGGACTTTGGACATGTGTGAATGTGGCCTAAGGCCAAAGACAGAGGGTTTTGAGGTCTAAGACCTAAAACCATTGTCAATGAGGCCTAAGGACACAGATAGAGTGATCCGAAGTCTGGGACCTCAGACTGATGTCGTTGTGCCCAAAAGGCCACAAACCGAGTAGTCTGAGGTCCTAGACCTCGGACCAGCGGTCCAATGTCAATGTTCAAAAACGACCAAAATGTCAATGTTAAAAAAAGGTAAAAAAAGAAGAAGTAAAAACTGGTATGATGTTTATAACATCATTCCAAGGGGGGGAATTGGAAAAAAAACATAGAGGATTGACCTTTTGTGTAATTTTCAAGAAAAATGGCTCTTTTTGTATCTTCTTTTTTTTCTTTTTGGGTAATTTAGTGGGAAAGACATGCCTCCACTTATTTTTTCCAAGTAGATTAAGAGTTAACTTTTTGAAGGTGTTGATGGGGTGGTGATCTTGGTGATGGAAATGAAAACCACAACGCCGTGATTAGGGTGTGGGGGTGCTACCACTACGACCTAGGCCCCTTTCCCAATTTTGTTTTAGTTTCCCTACATCAATTACTCATAAAAGAAAAAGAAGTTGGTTCATTTCAAGCAAGTAAGCCCCACATCCATAGATTCCACGTCGTCCACTTCTAGCAAGAGGGCCCCACATCCATAGGTTCCTGGCCGTCCACGCAACTGAGATAATACATACATATTATGGAATAAATAGCAAGTCAGAGACTTTCATCTTTGCAAAGCATACACTTCCTACCATAACAACATGCCCATGGAGCAAGCCTAGAGGTCAACAGTAGCATGTGCCCTCTCTCTGCTACTCTGAGCCCTAGCCCTAGCGCTCATGGTTCTCATTAGAAAACGACAATCTCACCTTCCTCCTGGCCCAAAGGGCCTCCCCATGGTTGGGTGCCGCCACAGGCTAGGCAGCAGACCGCATGAAACCCTCGCTACATTTGCGGAGATCCATGGCTCCCTCATGACCTTGCAGCTTGGATTTGTGACAACAATTGTCGTTTCATCATCTAAGATGGCCAAGGAGGTGTTATAGAACAACAACCTTGCCTTTGCGGAGTGCACAGCCATCGAAGCAATGAAGATTAAGTCTCACCATAACGGGTCCCTAGTGTGGGCTCAAATGGGTCCTCGTTGGCAAGCCCTCCGCCGCCTCTGCAACACCCAACTCTTCACTCCCCAGTGGCTAGACACCTTGTAGGCTCTTCGCTACCAGAAGGTCCATGAGATAGTCGAGCTCATACGACAGACTGAGCAGGTAGTGGACATAGGGCGTGTTGCCTTCGTCATAGCCCTGAATTTAGTGTCGAACATGATCTTTTCAACTGAAATGGTTGACCCCAAATCCGGGTCAGCACACGAGTTCAAGGATGTCATTTGGTCGATCATGGAAGTATCTGGTGTACCCAACCATGCAGACTATTTCCCGATGCTCAAGGGCCTGGACCTCTAAGGCCTCAAGGGGCGTAGCAACAAACTCTTCGAAAGGTTACACCAGCTACTCAATGTGATAATTGACGAACGTATACAATCCAGAGAGAAAGGTGGAGTGGCCAAGGGCGACTTTATCGGCATTATTCTTGACTCTAACCAGGAGAACGGTGTGGAGTTTAGGCAGAATGAGATCTTAGCTCTGCTCACTGTACAACACTACCCTTGTCTCTGCTATGCTGAGAATGAAAAATAACCCACACACAAATGATATATTCACACATATACACATTCACACACACACACACACACACAAAAGACCATAAT